TTTTAATTTTAATTTTTGAGTCATTAAACTTCTAGTCAATGCATATTTAAAAAAACAAAGGTTAATATTTCTTACATGATTAAAAAAAATTAAAGAATAAATATAGAAGTAAATTAATTTAATTACCTCACAATAAATTAAAATTAGTGATAGGAAATGAATGATAAATAAATCATTTGAAAAGAATAAACAATTCAAATAATTTATTATTTCTTACACCTAAAATTAAAATTAATCTTCACTTGAATAGAGAAATTATTTGAAAATAATGAAATACTCAATTAATTTATTATGTATGATACTTAAAATTTATTTCTCCATCTTTATTTTTCTCATTTAAATAATTTTTGTTAAATTAAATCTTAAAATTAATTTCTCACCTTCATTAATGATTGAATTTTTATTTTATTTTTTAGTTTATAATAGTTCAAAAACTTATTGTGAAAAAAATAGAGTCAAGAAATTACATTTATATTTTAAAAAATTTATGAAAAATAAATAATAATTTCATATATTTAATAGGATAAATTAAATTTAGTGCATTTAAGGTTAAGATTAATGTTGATAATGAATTAGTTTAATTTAATTGTTAGAAATTTTAGTAGAGGTAAGATTTTTTTTACTTCTATATTTATTTTTTAATCGTGTAATAGATATTAGCCTGCTTTTTTTTTTAATATGTATTGACTACAAGTTTAATGAATTAAAGATAAAAATTAAAATTTGAAAACAATATATGATTGAGAAAAGATAAAATAATAAATCTTTTACATATGAATAAATAAGTAATGCAAATTGTCAAAAAAAATAAAATCTATTTATTTCAACTTTTAAAAAATTCAAATAATAAATACAATACTTACAATTGTAAATTCCACGTTGTTTATGTAGCGTGAAATAAATGTTATATTAAATTATTAGAATATTATCTAACATTAATTTTAAAGAGACGGTTTATTTTTAAGTATATTATCAATAAAAATTAATTTTTTTAATTAAATATTTTAATAATGTCTTAACAATTCAAGAATTTTATTAGTATTGTATGAAATTTAAAAATTTTATTAAATAATGCTAATATATATATATGGGTCTTTGATAATATATATATATATATATACAAAATCTTAAGGGAGGTAAGTGTAATTTACCCATGTTAATAATGAATGAGTTAGTTTATGGGTATTTTTGTCTTTTCACATGCAAATCAAAGGATAATATAAGAGTGTTGCTTTTAGCATTCCATAAATTATTTTGGACTCCCCAATTTTTAGTTTTTTTTTTTAATTACAATAATAACATCAAATAAAATTACTATAAAGGACATTATTAATTTTGAGACACCTCACTCACAGTTAAACCTACAAACCCACTACGTAATGAATTAGGGTTTATGAGAGCACACACTTCCATCACCACCCATCCATCTTCCCCAAATCCCACCCTAAAAATCTTGAAAACCTTTTGACGGCAATATTCCGGCGGTAACAGTGGTAATCGTTTAATTACCTAAACTTCTTCGGCAATGATAATGAGTAGAAGTTTTTATGGCAACCACAACTCCATAAAACGAGAGGAGTGTTAGGTTTTTATTCTTAGCAATCTCGTTTGACAAAATTCTTTTCAGTTGTACTTCTTTTCGCACTTTTATTTCAATGAGGTTATGAGTTTTTATACACGAATCCAACCCGAATTGTGACTTTCAAAGAAGTTTGTGGTGCTAATTCTTTCATGATTGCCACTTCGCTGACTATGATAAGAATCGAGCTGCCCGATCAGCTCGCGGGGTCCAAGGAGCAGCGCCACAGTAAGGTTGAGGGGCAGCGCCTCTGAAGCAAAATGCAAAAATGCATTCGAACTTGCTTGTCCGCTCGAGCAGACATTCCCCCGCTCGAGTGGAGAATTCTTGGTTCCAAAAGTTTGATCTCCTACAAAAATACTAGGAGATATTTTTTCCTGCTCGAGCGAAATTTCCTGCACTCGAGCGTCGGTTCGCTCGAACAGCCATTCTGGCGCTCAAGCGGAGATCGTAGAACAGAGTGCTATAAATATGTGTTTCAGTCATATTTTAGGATTACGTTTCCAGATCTTCTTATTGGATATTAGGGTTTATATTTGGGGCTATTTTGCTAGTTTTCTTTGATGTTTGATTGAGTATTCAACTCATGGTTTAAGAAGCATGTGCCTGTTTGGTGCAGCTTAAAAGCTGCTTATTTCAGTTTTCAGTTTAATTTAAGCTATTTTGATGTGTTTGGTTTACCTTATAGCTTATAACTTATAGCTTTTTGGAAGTCATAAATCAGCTTATTGTTTGAGTGGGGCAGGAGATGCTTAATTTATAAGTCAGAAATCAGCTTATGTTCATAGTTATAAGCTATAATCTGTTTAGGCATAAGCTATAAGTACTTTCCCACAGCTCTACCAAACAGGGCCTATATATCAAATGACTGTTTGTTTATTCTATACAAAAGAGAGAGTTTTTTTCGGTGGATTCTGAAGAATTCGAGCTTGAAACTTTGGTGGATTCTGAAGTGGCTCATTGTTGTGATTCGACATCGGCGCTGTGGATTCAACGTTGGGCAAGACAATTCCGAGGTGAAAACGGGACTGGAAGAGGCAAGTAGGGGTTGGTTCAATTCGGGCGTAGATTCTAGGTAATTGAAAGTATACTTGTGTAATTCCTTTATGTCTTTTTAGTGGATTGTTTTGTGGCTTTTGCTGTAGTTTTTTTTTATCACAATTGGAGGCGTTCCAATTGTGATTTTTCTATGTAAAATCGTTGTGTCGATTTGTCTTGATTGTTTGATTAGGATTGTTCTTTAATGTTTAAAATTGATACATAATCACAAATCAATATTTAGGAGATTTTTAGTTTTTTCAAGGAGTATAACAATAAAAGGTTAGAGGAAGTTCATAACTCTGATGTTGTTATTAGCTCAGAGGAGATTAACCTTGTAAGGGTAAGTTTCTTGGCAAAAATATTAATCTGTTCGTCATTTTTTTGGGACTGAACTCCCGAACATATGATCAAAATTCGGGAACACAGGCCTAAACGTTATTTATTTGTTCGGAAATCGGTAACCGAACATTTATTATTCGAACCTCCTAGAAGTTTTCATTTTTCCAAGTTCGGGAATATAGGCCCGAACATTACTGATTTGTTCAAGAACACATTCTTGAACATAATTTATTTGTTCGGGAATGTAGGTCCGAACATGAAAATTTGTTAACAATTTGAATGGTTAAAATTCTTAAAACTTCCTAAGTACCAACCACAAAGTAACAACAGTAGACAAGAGAGACAGAAATGAAGAGGCAGATAAACACGTCGGAGATTTCTCTTTCTGGCCATAGTCGGATGTGTGTGAGAGAGAGCATACTAGAGTCACAGAGTTACACTTCTTCTCGTTCTTCTTGTTCATGGGTTTGAAAAGGATGAGATTTTGTTAGGTTTTTTTGAAACAGAGGTTTTTTTTAGAGTGTGGGGTTGTGCATTCAATTGGGTGAAATGTTTAAGGATAATTTTAGTATTATTTGAGAGATCCAAAGAAATTTTTAGAGTTTCAAAAATTATAAATAGGGGTCCAAAAAAATAAGGAATCCAAATTAATTCTTGGGATGCTAATAGTACCACTCTAATATAATCATTTTCATATCCAACTAAAACCGTTTGTACGAACTTAACAGATTTAAAGAATCTTGATAATAATTTCAAAAGTAAAGAAGGTTAGTGTAATTATTGAAACCACAAATAAAATTATTGTAGTTGTCAGAAAAACTCATGAAAGGTAAGTATAATTCATCAAAAAGAAAATGACATTACTTAGGGTCCGTTTGGGAAGGGCTTTTCTGGGCTTTTTTGACTATTTTAACCACAAAAGACAAAATAGGCTATTTTAGCCACAAAAAACAAAACATCACATCCAACCCATAATCATTACACTCTTCTCTCACAAAAAAAAATCAAAAAAGCCAAAAAGTCCTTCCCAAACCAAGCTTTTTAACCCAGGCTAAAATAGCTAAAAAAGCTAAAAAGATAAAAAATCAACCCACTTCCCAAACGGAGGCTTAAGAAAATATATAATGGGGGTGTATAGGATAGAATTTCCTAACGCATTTCAAACGCACAAAAAACCACTCATGAATCACACTTGTACAGTACAACAGGTGATGCAACTCTTATGTGAGCTTCTTGTCAGCATCAGGTCATGTTGCAGAAAAAATGGAAAATGTTAAAAAATAACTACTTAAAAAGGAGTTGGGCTTTCCTTCGGCCCACAAAAGTGAATTAGACGGTATTATTGAGTTTGTGAGGTTCACGGATTCTATTTCAATAATTTAAAATATTCAATGTGTAAAATTTATCAAGTATTTTATTATTATAAAAAATCACATAAATTGAATATTGATAACTACTTAATTAGATCAGATTTTTGTTAACAATTTATTTTAAAAATTATATTTACTGTTGACAAAAATCTGATCCGATCAAATAATATTTAATATCCAATTAACGTGATTTTTTAGAGAAAATAAAGTACTTAACGAGTTTTACATATTGAACTATTCGGATTATCAAAACAAGATCTATGGTGGACTCTCATGAATCCAACAACACGCTCCAATTTGATCTCAAATTGAAAAGAAGCCTGGCCTTGAAAAAATATATTCAACTTAAACAAACTTCTAAACAATTAAAAATGCATTAAACTCAAATAATTGGTTCATAGCAATTGAAATTAATACTAAGACCTCGTTTGGAAATAGATTATTTTAATAATTTTTAAATTTTTTACAAAAAAATATGTAGAAAAATAAAGGAAGTAATGTGATGTAACAATTTATAGTAACCTTTTAATTAAAATATATAATAAACAAATTAGGCCTAATTCAATCATTAAGCCTTGCACTTTTCCCAGCCTCTTGTCCAGCTTTGTTAATTAACATTGTTTCTCTTCCTCCACCTCATAAACAAAAATATAAAGGAACAAAGAACATAATTAAAAAAATGCATGTCTAATTTTGTAATAGAGAGAAACCTACAAAATTAGAGAGAAAACACACCGAAATGCAAAGCAATGCTGCAGCAACTTCCATGTTATAAAACAAAAAGAAAAAAAACATTTCTGTCGAAGTCTAAAAGATACATATATTCTTCCATCTCGCCCACCATTCCAAATTTCCAACACAAGAATTGCCAATATTTGCCTCTACATTGCACGACATGTTTCAGCAGAAGTAGATGACATATTGAACAACACCAAAAAAAAAATTGTTGGCATATAATAGCACAAGTTGGAATGCCTACCACCTACCTTCAGTCGCTACGTCTGCGCCGTCGAAAATGCCTGAGAATAAAGCTGTCCGCATACAGTGGATAATTTTTTCTGATCAAACCCTTTATGCATTTCCAGTATGAGAAGTCAACCAGCTCCCCATCCTTCCGGACTATGAACAAACATCGCGAGCTTTCAAAATCAGGATGATACCCAACCTGTCATAAGAAACTTGCATAATTCAGTGATCTAAAAATGAAATGTGGACAGTTTTCAAGAGGAACCTGATTTGCTAAAATTAAAGATATCCAGAAAAATTGTTTAATACCTACATATAAAAACTTCTTGTTCAGGTTTTTAAATTTTTTGATCGGCAACAAAAAGAAATATTATTAGACAAGAAGAAAGTACAAGATAAATGAGAGAACCAGAAGTCCTCCAAGAAAAGAAAAGTAAAAACAAAGACAATCAAATTCTCACACTACAAATCACAAAATGATGTTAAGGTTTTAGACAACAATGGAACAAACAAAACATTATCATTGTACCCAAATAATTTCTCTATGCCCTAAGATTGGATAATGTGAGCTCTTTCACCAAAATTAATCGGTGCTATCTTATAGGCAGCATTTTGGGGTGTGCATGCATGGACATTTTACGCATAGCTTTGCTAAGATATGGATATGGTGAGAAGAAAATTAACATTTTCACACTTTTTTTTTTTTTGGGTGTCATAGAAGGAATGGGGTTATGAACAAATGGCAATTAGTTACTAAATTATACTTGGAAGATTGTGCTGATCACCAAAACAGGGAAATCAGTCCATTGGTAATGTATCATGGATAATGTAGATAGTATAAGACGCATTATTATAATGTCATGATGATGATAATTTATGCATATGCCACACCAACATTGGTTCAACAACAATCAAACACCCCACATTTTCCAGTGAGTGAGAAAAGAATCCCAAAAAATGTTAACTATAAATAAAGTTTGTTTAGGTGAAGATCACCCAATCAAACCCTCATACTATCATCAAAATAAAAACCAAACCAAACCAAGCTTTAATTCCCATCAAATGGGGTCGGCTACATGAATCCTTCTTCTCTCCACGCGGCTCTATCAAAGGCCATTTCGTTAGTCAAATTAAGCAGATCCATATCTCTATTTAAAACGTTAGCCAATGTTAATCTAGGCCTACCCGGTCCCCTAACATTTCTATCTACTGTCACTACAACGCATCTCTTCACTACTGCCTCTGTTGGTCTCCGTTGAATATGACCAAACTATCTCAATCGATTCTCTCTCAGCTTATCTTCTATTGGTGCTACTCCTACCCATTCCCGAATACACTCATTCTTAATTCTGTCTTGTCTAATCTTGCCACACATCCACCTTAGCATCCCCATCTCAGTAATACCCATCTTATCTACATGTTATTTATTGGTTGCCCAACACTCCATCGCATACAACATTGATGGTCTAATAGCCGTTCTATAGAACTTACCTTTTAATCTAGTGGGTATTCGTTTATCGCACAGTACCCCAGGCGTACTTCTCCACTTAAGCCTTTCTGACTTAATCCTATGTGCCACATCCGCATCAATCTCCCCCGCCGATGTGATAATTGACCCTAAATAACGAAAATATTCACTCTTAGGCAGTTCTTTGTTCTCAATCTTCACTTCTCCTTTACTTTCATTGTCACTGTTACTAAATTTACACTCCATGTACTCTATCTTAGTTCTGCTTATCCAGAATCCTTTAGATTCAAGTGCTTTTCTCCAAATCTCCAACTTTGTATTAACTTTTTCTCTAGTCTCGTCCACTAACACGATATCATCTGCAAAAAGCATACACTATGGCACATAATCCTGAACATTTCTCGTCAACTCATCATAACTAAAGTAAAAAAATAAGGACTTAAGGTAGATCATTGGTGTAACCCTACAGTAATAAGAAATTCAATTGTCTCTTCAGCAAGCGATCTAATAGTGGTTACCACCCCTTCATACATGTACCTAATCACATCAATATAACCTTTTGTCACCCCTTTCTTCTCTAACACCCACCATATTATATCCCAATGCACTCTATCATATACTTTCTCAAGGTCAACAAACACCATATGAATATCTTTTTTTTTTTCTCTATACTTTTCTATTACTATCCTCAAAAGATAGATCGCTTCCATTATTGACCTGCTAGGCATAAACCCAAATTGATTCTCTGACACTTCTGTTATATCTCGCAATTGGCGTTCCATCACCCTCTCCCACACTCTCATTATATGACACTTAGCTTCATTCCTCTATAGTTGTTACAATTCTGGACATCTCCTTTATTCTTATAGATTGACACTAAAATACTATTCCTCCATTCATCTGGCATGTTCCTAATCAACAAAATTTTGCTAAATAACTTAGTCAACCAAGCAATCCCCTTTTTATCCAAACGCTTCTAAGCTTCAATAGGGATACCATTGGGTCCTAAAACCTTATTTGATTTCATCTTTTTAAATGCAATCTCCACTTCAAAGTTCCTAATCCTGCGATAGAACTTATAGTCTTGGTTTATCGTATTACCGGCTATTTCTTCCTCTATTGTCGTATGCCTCCATGTTCCTCATTTAATAACAACAACAACAACAAAGCCCAATTAGTACACTTTAATGTGTGTTTGGGAGGGGAAAGATTAGGTACACACCTAACCTTTGGCATAGTGCACAAAATGGTTGTCTTGTGACTTAAACCCATAACCTCAAGGCTAATAGTTTCTCAAAATAGTTCTTCTATCTCTCCTTAATCTCTTTATCCTTCACCAATATCTTAGAATCCTCACTCTTGATGCATTTAACTTGATTAAAATCTCTTGTTTTCCTCTCCCGTCATGTTATCACAATAAAAACTAGCACAGAAAGCATCTCAAAGAGCATAGTATACATATTATGCATATGAAAGCTTCTCCATCCACAGGATCCTTAACTGACACCTGTAGAAACATTTGTTACTCTAGTTTTCACCAGCCTTAAAAAAAAGACGAGCAAAAGTTAAGCTGAGCAAAAATTCTGTCAACAGAGAATTCAATAATTTCCCCCCTGAAATTCTTGAGAACAATAACATGCTCACAACAATGAAGATATAACAAAAGTTGCTGTAAAAATACAGCTAAAACATAAATAAAGATAGAAGGTCCTATCCAGCTTCATGTTTTCATATAGAAACACCAGATGAGAAAATGAAGTAGTTATTCAAGTTGAAAACAAAATACAAGAAACAAGAACGAGAGAAGTAGGATATTATTAATCTGATAATACAGAAGTGAAGGGAATGTGAAATCAATAACATACAAGTAAAAAGAAATAAAAGGTAATATGTTAAGCTGAGCCTGGTGGTATTATCAGCCTGAAAATGCAATGTCAAATTAGAACTCAATTGCAAAAATAACAAAACAAAGGGCAAAAAGTGATGTATAATAATATAGATCTAAGTATAAAGTCAAGAAAGTTGCAAATATTTTATTAGTTGCTAAGTAGACATAATTCACCTCCTCATTTTAAAGCTCTTTAAACAGAAGCAAAAAAAAATAATCGGTGTGTTTGGTTTTAGTTTTCTGAAAATTGAATTTTTTGTTTTTCGTGTTTTTTTGTTTTTAGTGAATATTTTTTAAATTTTAAATAATTTTTTTACTTTTTTAGATGCACCTTACTTAGATGTATTTAAATAGTAAAATATTTGTAAAAAAATATTTTAAAAAATTAATAAATACACAAAAATACGAAAAATGTACTGAATTTTCGAATTTTTTTTGTATTTTTTGGTATTTAGTGTATTTTTTAAATTTTTTTTATACAAATATTATACTTTTAAAGTGTATTTATGTTAAGTGTGTCTAAAAATTAAAAAAAATTGCTTAAAATGTTAAAAAAAATCATTGAAAACATTAAAATACGGAAAATAAAAAATAGAATTTTCTGAAAACAGTTTTCTGAAAATCAGAACCAAACAAGCTGAATAGTGTTTATTTTTTTTAATGGGGTACAAGAAATTGCCAAAGCCAACACAGATCAAAAGTAACAGCCCTTGCACATAGATATTTCTTGCTATTTTAAAGAGGTTTGATCCATTAAAATCTTATCAAGAATTGTGCCCAACTTTATAAACATACAAGTTCAATGAGAGCATGTTCTGCTCACTTAACTATCTATTAAGCCAAATTGTAAAACCTGATTGATATGTACACGTAATAAATAAAGCATGAAAAAAGCAAAGCTAAAATATATGCATACAGAAATATCTTGTATATACACTAGGACTTTTTAAGTAATTAAAAATGTGAAAACGACAAACTGTTGAGGTATAATTTTCAAGTAAACATTATTTGCGAGGTATAATGCATCATGAATAAATGCAACCAAATCAAACTCAAAGATTTTAGCAGCTCTTAAACCATTTCCAAATGAAATTTGACTTTCTGTGATGGAAAATAGGTGTGTGTGTGTGTGTGTGTGTGTGTGTGTGTGTGTGTGTGTGTGTGAGAGAGAGAGAGAGAGAGAGAGAGAGAGAGAGACCGTGATGTAATCAACTCCACATCCGATCTTCTTTTCACACTCCGGATGATAAGGAAGCAACCTCTCTAGGATAGTCTTCTCATGCTCGGGACTTAATCTATCTCCACTCTCATATCTGCAACATAAATCCCATTTTCAAACAATGATAACTAGCACTGCAAGACCAAATGTTTAAGCTCATAATCAAAATAATACAAAGGATATGTTCTCCTAGCAATGACTTAAAAGAGAAGCTTTCAAGGTAATAAATTAAACAATAATTGTTCTTCCAACCGACCATGGAGAAGCAGCTTATGATGCCAAATGGATAGGAAAAAAACATTAATTGAAATTATATGTGAAACATAAATTACAGAAGCAGTTAAGGAAAGACAAGCAGGGCAGCTGGCTCTTTGCTCCTGAATGACTTTCAACATTATTTGCGGGGTATAATGCATCATGAATAAATGCAACCAAATCAAGCTCAAAGATTTTAGCAGCTCTTAAACCATTTCCAAATGAAATTTGACTTTCTGTGATGGAAAATAGGTGTGTGTGTGTGTGTGTGTGTATGTGAGAGAGAGAGAGAGAGAGAGAGAGAGAGACCGTGATGTAATCAACTCCACATCCGATCTTCTTTTCACACTCTGGATGATAAGGAAGCAACCTCTCTAGGATAGTCTTCTCATGCTCGGGACTTAATCTATCTCCACTCTCATATCTACAACATAAATTCCATTTTCAAACAATGATAACTAGCACTGCAAGACCAAATGTTTAAGCTCATAATCAAAATAATACAAAGGATATGTTCTCCTAGCAATGACTTAAAAGAGAAGCTTTCAAGGTAATAAATTAAACAATAATTGTTCTTCCAACCGACCATGGAGAAGCAGCTTATGATGCCAAATGGATAGGAAAAAAACATTAATTGAAATTATATGTGAAACATAAATTACAGAAGCAGTTAAGGAAAGACAAGCAGGGCAGCTGGCTCTTTGCTCCTGAATGACTTTCAAGCTTAGACATTGAAGCAACCTAAACCTGTAAACATTGAGTGAAAGGTTGAACATGCACCACCCTATCATAACATCCTACCAAAGCCCCTACTACTCACAAAATCCAAGGTATTGCTATGCTCTTATTAGCTTCTCAAGCTCTTCTCATCAACACATCCATAAAATTAATGTTAAAATGTGAAAAGAGTAAGTATGCTGAAACAAACACATAAACGTGAGAAAGAAGAAAAAAAATTCCTCTGGTCACCGGTCCAAACTAATTAATTACCCATCATATTGGACCTTGATAAATGCAAACAAGAGTGATTAAATTAAAGGATTTTGTTAACGTGTGCCCTTAGGTCATATGATAAGAAGCTTAAAATAGTACACCTGCATACAAGATCATGCAACAAAGAATGTACAATATTTTAAAGCATTCTCAACATGTGCCTTATCGTTAACCAGACCTTTAAATTAATGAATGGTGTTCATGATTGCTATCCTTGCATCTCTTTGTTCATGGAGGAAGCAAGTATTGATAAATATGCACCTTAGTTAGAAGCAAGGACACTTCTAAGAAGATGTCATGTCCATGTCAGACACTTACTGACACTCATTGGACACTTCCACCATGTCTGACACACATACTTACATGTCTAAAGGTGACATGAAATGTTTACACAAATGACAATAACCAAGAATTGTCTGATACCACAATAGCATTCATAATCACTCTGCCTCTGAAAGAAAAAGCATTTATCAGACTCTTGGTCATGGAAAAACATCATTAAACTCCTGCCAACATTTTTCTAGGCAAAATGTATTCAAATACTGAAGATCTCATTAGAATTAAAAGATCATATGTTTATGCTATATAATATGCCTAAGATCAGCATCCAATTACCACCCGTACACTCATCCCTATATTACTGCCTTTCTGGAAAACTGCAGATCTTTTTTATGCCTTTATGTGCTGTGATAAAACTAAGGCTCCTCTGCCCTGATCAAGGATACTTCACAAGGACCACAGATTCAAGCATCTTTTTCTGTAACTTAATTCCTCCACTCCTTATTGTTAAGGATCACATTTTAGTTGGGCAACATTACTGATGTCAATTACAAACCTAAATTTACCCTTATCTTTTTCCACTTTTGATATTTTAAATGTTGACAATAGAGACTCCTTGTGTCTATACTATATTAGCTACACAACACTAATCAGCTGAGAAGTTTTCGAGGACTCAAAAATTTTTTTTTAATGATAATTATAAAATTAAAAGGATGCCAAGGGGATGTCACCCTTGTACATCAAAAAGGAAAAGAGAAAGTAAACATAAGACACAAGGGCTACTCCCCAAGCCTTCCTCACCCTCCTCACATGGCACCCACGTGTCCAACAATCTAAAAGTTGTAACACATTTGTTGGCATCGCCCAACTCACACCAAAGATGACAAACAACATAGTTTCTAGCTACGTCACAATGTATCTCCAAATGATCTACTGACTTTTCTGCCATTTTACACATGCAACAGTAGTTAGGCAAAAACAAACTTCTCCTACTTAAATTATTAGTAGTTAGGATCGAAACTAAAGCAACCGTCCCAATAAGAAATGCAATCTTGGTGGGAGTGTCCTTTCCACATAGACTTCCAATGAAAAGTGTCCACCCCCATCACACAAACATGGGTGGAACTAACATTACAGTGGAATTTTCCCCTTTCCTCTCCAACTGATTCATCAATCCCATCTATCAATTCATACACTATGAAGTTAGTTTAAAAAATCATCAACTGCTTCTAATTCCCAATCCTAGAAGGTTACAGAAGAAGGCTCCCAGACCACTCTTGAGTCTAAACACACATATATTCGTATACCATTTTGCCTCCTTACGCTGTGTTTGGTTAGAGGATTTAGGGAGGGATTTGGAAAAGGAAAGGGAAAAAGTGTGTGAAACTAAGTGAAATTTAAGTATATTTTATTCACATTTTACCTACCTTTTCCATTTCTCTTTCCAAATCCCTCTTCAAATCCCCCAAGCAAACACAACATTACTTGCTGCAATTTAGTAGAGCTAGATAATGAAACTGGACCACACCACAAGTGTAACACCCAAATATTTGATTAGTTTCAACACCATGACAATGTCAACTAAACATTTAATTTTTATTAGAAAAAATAATAATAAATAAATAAATAAAAATAGCAATACTGTTCGCAGTATGCTGTAAGGATATGTTGAGTGGCTCACTAGTGTAATGATTTCTCCCTTTAAATTTCATATTTATGTTACTTAATTATACGCACAATTAATTGGGGTTAAAATGTAAATAAGAAATAGCAATTAGATGGGGTCAAGTGTAAATAAGAGGAAGAGAATTAGAGGCATGGCACAAGCTGCTGTCTGTCGTCAAGACACAGCACCAAGTTAGGCAAGTGCTGCGGGACATGTTTTGTCCAAAGGGGAAACAAAACAAACGAAGGAGCTATAAGAAAGATAGCACCAGAACGAAGAAGAAGAAGAAGGAGAAGAAAAATAAATAGTAGGGGGCAATATTAAGGTGGGTTATATTATACCTTGAGTAGCCATGTCTTGGGGGACTTAAATAACCATTGGCCCTCCGAATTGTTACTTTAGTGATCCTCTGATGCAGTGTTGTGAAAAGCGCGCCTAGGCGCAAGGCGCAGCGAGGGGCACCCATTGCGCCTGAAGGGGACCCAGGCGAGGCGCGTTTGAAGAGTCGCGCGCCTTAGGCACGACTTGGACCAGGCGCAGCGAGGCGCAAGGCGTGAGCCTAAGGGTTTTTTTTTTTTTTCTTTTCCTTCTTGAATCTGATCTAATGGTTGTGATCTGTGTAGGAGAGGCTCCAGCTAGGATTACAACTCATGTAATACAACACAGCAGCGAGAAGAGTACACGAAAGAGAAGAAGAGTAAAGGAGAACAAACAAAAGAGAAGAGTAAAGGAGAACAAACTTGGTCAGTGACAACTTCGACGACCTCCCTTCGACTTTGCCGACTTGTTCTTCTCGATTTCGACGACCTCCCGTCGACTTCGTCTTCTCTACTTCGACGACTTGACCTCCCTTCGACTTCAATCGCTCTCTCTATCTCTCTAGCCTTCGCCTCTCGCGAGCTCGCGATCTCTCTCTCTCTTCTCTCTTTCTCTCTCCCAGCTTCTCTCTGTCTTATCTAGCCTCTGTTTTACCTATATCTTATATATGAGTATATATTATCTTATATCTTATATAATATATATTTACACATATTAATAAAAAAACACAAACATATGTATGTAAAATAAAAATAAATTATATTATACTGAAATTACAAATTATTTTACACTATTGGTAAAATATAAATTATTTGTAATTATTTTACACTGAAATTACAAATTATATTAGACTGAAATTACAAATTATATTACACTGGTGGTCAGTTTTTTTTCCTATTCCTTTCTCTGTTAAGAAAAAAAATTACAAATAATTAATTAATCACATATTACATTACACTGAAATTACAAATTATTTTCAATTTATTTTCCACACCCTTTGTCTTGATTACTTTTATTTTAAAAAAATTGTCTTAGTACTGTGAGTGATTAGTTTATGTTAATTTATCTATTTTTTATTAAGATTGTGCGCCTTGCTTCAATAAAATCCGCGCCTCACCTTGCGCCTAGGCCCCGAGAGACCTTCAATGCCTTAGTGCGCCTTGAGCCTTTAAAAACACTGCTCTGATGGTCCCATGCCTTGGGGGACGTAACTAACCATTGACTTTCTGATTAGTCACGTTATGACCTTCTGTTTGTTATGGATCCATTGACCCTCTATTTTGTTCTGTACAACGCTTATGATTATTTTGTGTATACAATTTTTGTATTGTATGTCTATTATTTCAAATAATTATTTAACAAAACTATTCAAATAATTATTCAACAAAATTTTTGTATTGTATGTTTAGCCTAAATAATTGTCCATGGTGATTTGTATACTCTTAGGCCCTGTTTGTTTTGGGTGAAAGAGAGGGTATTGGGATTGCTAATACCAAGGTATTAGTAATAGCCTTGTTTGTTTTTGGAGAAGGCCTTTGAACTATTAGTCCCTTTGTATTACTAATACCCTTAGAGAGGGGATTGATAAGGAGGAGGTAGAGATGGTATTAGAAAAATAGTGAGGGGATTAGAAATTTTTTTATTTTTTTTATTTTTTATATATGGGAAATTTTTTTAAAAATATAATTTTTAATTTTTTATATTTTTTTATTTGTTTTATTATTTTATATAAAAATAATTTAACAATTACTCACTACTAATCCCCTCACTATCAATCCCCTCATTACTAATCCCCTCATTATCAATCCCCTCATTACTAATCCCCTCATTATCAATCCCCTCACTAATAATCCCCTCACTATTAATCCCCTCACTATCAATCCCCTCCATTCTATCTCCCAAAACAAACGGGGCCTTATACTCTTAGTATAATATTTCTCACTTTGACATGTACTTATACCTGTTGGTTTACCGCATTAATCAGGACCCAGACTTGAGATGAATATCGTGTATTTTTTTTTCTTCTCTTTTCTTTCTCGTGTTTATTTGTAATTATTATCTGACTTAGGTTACATAAATAATAATTCTCATGCACGCTTCAGATATTTATCTATATCGTTTATTTCATTTCGATGCATTATTTAATTTAGTTACTTCGAACTAATCTTAAGAATTTTAGAATTTAACTAGTTGCGAATCCAACCATAGGCACCAGGGTGGGTCGTGACAACAAGTCCTTCCAAAATCTCACCTTACTTCCATTCCTACAGAAGAATATATATCAATCTACAGTACTCCAGCCTCTCCTTGATTTCTTTCCAAAGGCCTACACCATGCAAACACCCGATCTCTATAGTTGTGCAGACAACTACTCCATTACCATACTTGCACTCCATCACCCTCCTAGAAAAGCCTCCAACCTCATTGGCATATCTCCATAGCCAATTCTCAAGAAGGGCCTAATTAAACAAACAGAACTGTCCTATACACATTGTGCATTCAAATAAGAGTAATGGTATTGCTCATATCATTTTATAACTGATCGCAATCCGAAGCTTCTACCTGAATAGTTTATCAAAATTCCCCAATGACTCAACTCTAAATTGACAAAATAAGTGTACCCAAATCATAAAATAAAACAAACCCAATTCAATTCAGGTAAAAATTTACATAAGAAGAAACAATAGAGAGCTTACTTTCCAGAATGAAGAAGCATCCTCACAAAGCCAACAAGGGGGACAGTGTCTTCCAAAATCTGGTCCTCCCAATCAACCCAACCCTCTCCTCCGCTCCTGTTATCATCATCCTCAACGTCGTCGTCATCCTCGTCAGATACTCTTGAGGAGACCTCGGCCGTGGACTCTTCCACCGCCGGCGAGATGACCGGCTTCCTCAGCAAGTCAGAGGCAGTGTAGGGATCTGGTCCGGCGGCGGAGGATCGAGTTTTTAGGGCACAATAGCGGAAGTGAGAGCGGTGAGAAGGGAAGGAGAGAATGGAAGGAGAGTGGAGAGAGATAGGGTTTCTGTGGTGGAGATGAATGTGCGGTGATTTTGAAGTTAATGAAGACGCCATAGCCATCAAATTCTACGATTCTTTCTAGTTTCTACTACTTGTACTGGTACTAGTACTAGTACTACTAGTGGTGTTGCTGTACTTGTACTTGTACTTGTGCTTGTGCTTCACGGTCTCACCACCATGTTCTTCTTCTGCAATAGTGTCATCGCTTTGCTAAAGTCTGCAATCAAAACCTCACTACACTACAAGATAACACACTAGCACACCCAGCAACCCGATCCATATTGCTGCAAGTTGAGACGGGTCAGAATCAATACCACATGACCCGTTTTTTTTTTTTCCCGCACCCTTCGTGCATCTTATAATTTTTTAAAAAATAATAATATAATTTTTATTTTTTTAGTCATAATTAAAAAAATATTGTAACTAAACACAACATGAGTCATAATTAAAAAAATTTATGAGTTATAACTAAAATAAATGTCATGACTAAAGAAAAAAAAATTAGTTATAGAATAAAATGACATAATTAGAGATGCATATAGTATACCCTTTTTAAAGAGATGTATATCAGAATTTTCCAAAATGTTAATGATATGAGTTTTGATAACCTAATTCAATACTTAAAATTAAATTTATTAAATGATAATTAATTAAATCTATTTAATAATCACAATTGATATCTCTTAAAATTTTAATTATTTTTTATAGTTAAAGTATAGGTTAAAAGTAAGAAAAATCTTTAATTCATATAAAACTTACTTAATTATGACTAAATTTATAAATACTAAACATAAATATTCATATATATAACTATTAATTTATAATAAATTTTACATCTTAAATCTATTTAACACTTATTTTTATTTTGATATTTCATTAGAAATTAAAAAATATATATGTATTAACTATAGTAGAATAGAGCGGTTTCGAAGACGAGTTATAAATTTTAAGGTTTAATTTGTGATTAACCAATAGAATGGTATGAATTGGTGCAAATCAAGCGGTATTTTGCACAACCCTAACCACTACCACCACTTTCATCATCATTGCCATAAGGATCAATATCATTTTACTATCACTATCATCACTGGCACTACTGCTAAATTACATTTTCTTTTTTTTTTGGTGGTGGAAATGGATTCTCTCCGGTGTGACATTCAAATGGAGAGCTGTTGGTTGGCTCGGTGTTCGTTGAACAAGATTGTTGTAAGGTCTATTGAAAAGATTATCAATGTAAAAAATTAAATTAATTGAACATCTATAACTAATTAATCAGATCAATTTTTTCTTTAAAAAATGGACGAAAATGAAGATTTTGAGAATAAACCGTCTATTTTTTTTTTTAAAAAAAGATAAATGTGTGTCACAATCCAAACCCGCTCCTATAGGTTTAGCGTCATAACCGGCTAGTAATCCTTGGATTACCAAAGGCTTCTGACCTGATTATTATGAAATACGAGGGGCTACGGAAGCAAATATATAAAAATACATTGTCCATAGAACTGTGTTGACATATATGAGACAGAAATCCTTAAAACAAACTTATATATATATATATATATATATATGTGACGTCATAAATATATTAGTCTTACGTCACCTACTTATATAGATAAAGCCAAAAGGGGACTTAAGAAAAACAAAACAAAAACATCTATAGCAAAGTTACAAAGCTTGACATCTCAAGAGGGGACCTCCTCGAGAGGTACGGTGGCTGGCTGACTCAAAACTCTCCATGCAGCAGCTTAGGCCTGGTCACACGCTTGCTCACCTACATACATAATATAAATAGTGAGCGAAAGCCCAATGAATAATGACAGAGTAAAGTGGTTTAAATGAATGATATCCCCTACCGGTCGGAAAACAGATTCATATTTATTTTCTTATTCAAAGCATAATAGAAATCGGGTCAAATACAGATTCATTTTCACATTCTTCATGCTTGAGTAAACTTGATACATTCAATAGTGCTAACAGATCATATACAGAGCATTATGGGCCATACTTGTCATTTCCATAAAGGAACCTTCAGTACTAGAAACGGATAACTTGTCAGTTCTATAGTGGAACCTCCAGTACTGGGAACAGAAAACTTGTCAGTTCCATAAAGGAACCTCTAGTACTGGGAACAGATAACTTGTCAATTCCATGAAAGAACCTGCAGTACTGGGAACGGATAACTTGTCAGTTCCATAAAGGAACCTCAAGTACTAGGAACGAGCAACTTGTCAATTCCATAAAGGAATCTCCAGTATCGAGAACAGATAACATACTTGGACCACAGAATTGTTGCCACGGGTCCTTGTCAAAAACTAGACAATCATTCATTGTACAAAACATAACATTTCATAAAATAGGTCTTACTCCATTTACAGAAAATAAATAAAGTTGAACATAGCTTTATTAAGTTATTACTCACAGCTGGCTCCAAAGTAAACAGACAGAGTAGTCAAATCAGATGTCTTGTGGCGCGTGACCTATATAGTACAGAATGAACACGTACTGAAACACACCCAAAATCATTAACTTAATCATTTCTTATCTTGGTGTGTTTCTACTTCTTATCCTCATTATTAGGTCTTAATTATGGCCTAGGAATATCTAAGATGCAATGAGGATGTCAAAATACACTTTGGAACTCTTAACAAAACTTGCTGAAAACAGGAACTGTCACGACCCAAACCCGCCCCTATGGGTTTAGCACCATAACTGGCTAGTAATCCGTGATTATCGAAGGCCTGCTTAACAGTCAAACAATAAAACAGAGTACAAGGGCATGGCAGAAGCCAAAACAGTAAATAGACGATGTCCAATGAGCTGTGACAGTCTGTATGCAAAAACCAAAAGACTTTTCATGCAGTTATGCAATCAGTGCATAAACAATATTGAACAGACATTTACAATCGTTCAGGACAGGACTTAATCCCATTAAAACAGTACATAACAGTGTATACAAAAACAGGACAGAGAGCGAGAAAAACTAAAACACCAAGCCGTATGCCTTTAGCTTGAACAAGAACTCAGACTTGCAAGTAAGGCCGAAACATAGCGTTGGCGACAAAACTGGAGTTTACACCCGACGCTTCTAGCAACGGTCCGGTGCCTGTACACCTACATATATATATGAGCAGTGAGCTAAGTCCAGTGAAATAAACATTAATGCGTAAAGAGGTTAAGAATAATGCCCTTACTAGTATTGAAAACAATCAATTTCAATCAGTATGTCAAGTTATTCAGTCATTACGTCATATGTGGTACATCTATTAGCATAGCAGTACAGTAAACAGTAGGTCTTAAGAGACGCGAACCAGTCATGATGGCAATCATATCAGTAACAGTAGTGGTTTCAACATGGGAACAGAACAGAGATCTCTGTAAACAGTAGCAGTAACAGAGTAACAGTATTTGCTATACAGAAGATGCCACAGTACAGTTCAGAATAGGGACATACATCATTTCAGTAACAGTATCAATTCAGATAGCAAACAGTACAGTTTTAACCATATCAAAAATATTCCATATTTGAACATATCTTTTACACAGTTTTTACATCACAACTGGCTACAGTTAAGATTAGAGCGCATCCTCAGATGCAGACCTGACACAGATTACAGGCATGAAACACACCACTAAGTTTACATTCGGAAACAAAGACTTAGTCCCTACTTAGACTCGGTGTGGTTCTACATCTATATCCTCATTAAGATGTCTTAAAACTACGCCCTAAGAATGCCTAGGATGAAATGAGGATGCAAAGATGCACTTTAATAACATTTTTCAAATTTTCAGAAAACAGGGTCCCGCTTGAGCGTCGGTTACTCCGCTCTGAGCGAAATACAGACAAGATTTCCGTTCGAGCTCAGACTTACTCACTCGAGCGTACTGCAAAACAGTCAAAAGTGTTGGATAGGTGAAATTCACGCTCGATTGGGCGCTGACACCCAGCTCGAGCTTAAGACACAAGGTCCGCTCGAGCGTATTTACCCCACTCGAGCGGACTTCAAAACAGTGTAAAGTGCTGGGAGCACGAATTTCATACTCGAGCGCCAGTCACCCCGCTCGAGCGTGAGTTCAAAATTTGAAATTCCCAGATTTTGAACCTCAAGTTCAAATTTAACTTCAAGTGTATCAAATTGATTCCTTTGGGTCCATTTCCTGGAAAAACACTCGTAAATACATAGATTGACATGATTTAAGGCTTAATTTGTAAAATCAAGGCCAAGGTGAAGGTGGGAATTAAACCCAATTTCAAACCAAAACTTTCAAGAACATGATAAATGTGTAACATGCATGAATCAACAAACTTTAAAAGCTTCAAATGCTAGCTCAATTGAGCTAATTCTTTCCAAAACCAAGATGAGATCATGGTCCAATACAAAAATATAAACATGCATGTACCAAAATTCCATGTATTCAACCTCAAAATGCTAGGATATAAGCATGCATGTATGATTTATGCTACAATTCAACATTATAAGCCATATCTTGGCTCTAATCTTCAACAATCCTCTAAATCATGCAGAAGTAATTCAATTCATAAACAAGAAGGTAATTACTCTACCTTAAGTCTTGTATTCAAATGTAGAAACTCAATTTGCACAAACCCTCTACAATTTCTTCAAGTTTGCAAGCAAAATTCAAGATGAAGCCAAGTTCCTCTACCTCTCTCTCTCAGTCGGTTTAACAAGGAATATGGCTAAACAAATGTTGTGTTGATGAATAATAAGGCTTCAATATTGTTTGACTAAGTGGCCTACTTAATGGCATTATGGCAAATAGGCTAACTCTTACAATTTATCAATATTGATCCAATTTAATCATACCAAATCAACACTTCAGATAAATATACCATAAAAATCCCATAAATTCTAATTAGTACATAAACGCTAAACAATTCGGGTTCGGCCGCCGATAAGGCCTTCAATTTGCAGTTTAAACATAAAATATGGACAGATAAGTTTAACAGTCAAACAGATAGATATGCATTTAAACTAGCACATTCAATCAGTTTAGTTCAGTATTTCAGTTGATTTAATTACTTTTTCATAATCAATCTCAGTTTAGCAAAGTAATCAGTAGGGTTATCAGTAATTAGTGGTGAGGGTTATTATAGGAACCCCGCTCGAACGCAACTTCTTCGCTCGAGCGGACATGGGAAAATGTGAGTGGTCGCTCAATCGTAACTTCCTTTGCTCGACGGTCTGTAAACTTTGAAAAAGTTCTAGG